TACAGATATGTACCACCACACCCAGCTAAAGTTTTTTACCTTTCTTTTTGTAGAAAAGGCAGGGGGGAGTCTCAATATGTTGCCCAAGATGGTCGTGAACTCCTGGACTCCTATGAACTTCATGCACCAGCCTCCCAAAGTTCTGGGGTTGTAGGCATGAGGCGGCACACCTGGCCTTTTAATTTACTTATAAAAAGTCATGTCAAGTAGATCGAACTCTCACATTAGTAATATTTTCCATTGTCTTCATCCTTTTGTCAAAAACAGTGAAGTAGTCAACTGTGTTTTCCTGTCTTGTTTACATTCATTCGTTAACCTAGTAAGATGTGGTGTGGAGGTCAGATCTTAGCTAATTTTTCCCCCAAGTGATCAATATTCCCATCATCTTTTGCTAAGCGATTCCTCCCTCCTGAAGGCAGAACTCAAATCACGGGAAGATGGTTAGGAACTTGATGGAGATGGTATATTACAGATTCAGGCCAGGTGAGATTTTTAGCTCCTCCCAAATCTAAGCTGCTCTTCTGTGGTGGGCAGAGGCTTCCAGGCGGACAACAATGAAAGGCAAGCCATGCCGTCATTGTGGAGGAGGAAGGAGGTTTGCCAGGAAGGCCCTGAGGCCCACTGGCCTCCAGAAGAACCCAGAAGCCCCAGGGAAAAGCTGTTTGCTCTTGCAGCATAGAGATGAGCAAGTTTTTCCAGAGAAGCAACTGGAACTCACCAGGCCCATCAGGTAGCTCTCACCTTAGACTCTAGAGAGATGTTCCCTGAGTCTTCCTCCATTCCCCAGAGGTCAGCGTCCCCACAGACTATCCCCTTACCTTTGTCCCCTCATGTCAGCAAAGGTCCCCCCACCTTTCCCTGTGACTTCCAGACTATCTTCTTGCCCCAGGCAGCCGTGAAACTTGAGGGGACCGGTGAGGGTGACCAGGGAGACCGGGCCAGCAGCCGTGCACTCTGCACACCCTCCTCAAGGCCAGCAGTGCCCTCACTCATTGGGGAGGGGCCTCTTTTTCAGAGCAGAGGCCCAGGCTCTGAGAGAGAGCCCAGGAACCAGTGTCCCCAGGCAGAAAGGGAGAATGAGAAGGGCAGTTGTTGCTCCTCTGGAGTGTGAATGACCCCCCAGGGCAGCAGAGAGGAGGGCAAGCAAGTGCCAAAGGATAGGCCAGTTTGGACACCCAGGAGAAGCCAGGAGGGACTGCCCTGGGGGTGGGGGCACAAAAGCAGGCCTGAGGAGGAGGCAAGTCAGGCCCCCAGACTCAGGTGCAAAAATTAAATCACTGTTACTGGAGTTTGGTTTGCTCTTAAAGCTGGGGCAGCAGCCTTTCCCTGCAGTGAGATGGGCGCGGAAGGTGCTAAGGAGGGTGCTTGGGCTTTCCTTGCAGCTTCATGGAACTTGGAGGAAGCTCAGGGCCAACTGGGGGGGAGAAGTAGGTGGTGCCAAGGCAGCTGGAGTGAGCTTTCCCGTCCTTGGCTATTAGGATTCTATCAGGACACAAATCATGTGGGCTATGATTTCTCCCACCCTGACCTTCCTCTGGAAGGCCCTGTGGGGACTGCCCCTCACTTCAGGTTCCCCATTGAGCTGGCAATAAATCGATTAAGCTAAAGGAACCTTAAGGAGGACCTGCAGGCCAGGCCTGTGCCCTTATTCTACAGATGTGTGGCTGAGGCCCGAGAAGTGAATGGTTCACCCACAGGACGGAGCCAGCAGAATGATCCAAGTAGTTCCTCTCCTTCAACTACTGGGCCTAAAAACAGGGACCTGAGACAGGGTACTTCTGCCTTTCTGTAGGGAATAGGGTAAGAGCTCTAGAAAAGGAAGGCACACACAACAGAAGTGGTCCCATCTGACCTCCTAGTCATGCAGGCAATCAGAAGGGTAGAGGGAAGGAGGGCTGGCGCCATCAAGTAGTCTCAGGAAAAAGGCCTTAACACAAAATGTAACGGCGTGTGTAAGAAGGTCTGGAAATTGCAGCTCCGGGCCGAAGGCAGTGGGATCTGAGGCCAAGTCCTGGATCTGTCTTATTACCACTTGTGAGAACTAAGGCAGATGTATTTATCCTGGTGGGGGAAGAGGGGATGCATCTCTTCAAAACCTTGAGATTCGGGCGGTGCCTGTGGCTCAGCGAGTAGGGCGCCAGCCCCATGTATCAAGGGTGGCAGGTTCAAACCTGGCCCTGGCAAACTGCAACAAGAAAATAGCTGGGTGTGGTGGTGGGCACCTGTAATCCCAGCTACTCAGGAGGCTGAGGCAGGAGAATCGCCTAAGCCCAAGAGCTGGAGGTTGCTGTGAGCTGTATGATGC